AGTAGGGGGCTTTCTGCCTTTCCAAATATTTGTTTCAGTGTGTCACTTGTATAAAAAATTGATTGTGATATCAATTAGGTAAATTGATTTGAGCTTAACAAATGCGAATTTAACGGTTCTTTGATTATAATCATCTCAACCGAATTTAAATTTCTTCATTAAATTTGTTTTCATTATTTACCAAGCTTATTAATACCTGAATTTGTTTAATGGATTTCCCAAAATTCCTAATGGGATGACATATTAATAAGTAAATGTGTTTTTAAACTAAATTATACTTATTGTCACCTTTCATTTGTAAGGTTGTGAAATTTATATATTATTTGGAATACCGAAGTAAAGATCACCCAGCTTACACGTTTGCCTGTATCGAGTTTATTTTAAAATGCTTAAAAATTATAGTACATACCTATACTTTGCAAATACATACATATAAGTTAAAAAGATCGATATTAAAAGACTTAAAATTATTATTTAACTATTAATTTCCACTTATCTTTTTTTCCAGGCCATTGCCAAATGGAGTAAGGAAAATGAGGTATCCTTAGTGGTCGTGGGACCGGAAGATCCTCTAGCCTTGGGCTTGGGCGATGTCCTACAAAAGGCGGGCATAGCGTGCTTTGGTCCTGGCAAACAGGGAGCCCAAATTGAGGCGGACAAGAAGTGGGCCAAGGACTTTATGTTGCGTCACGGGATTCCAACGGCTCGATACGAGAGTTTCACGGATACGGACAAGGCCAAAGCGTTCATCAAGAGGTGAGCTACTTATTCAAGGTTTTAAAAGTGAAATGAGATTGGATACCTCTCTTCCAGCGCCCCCTATCCGGCTCTGGTGGTGAAGGCGGCTGGTCTGGCCGCTGGCAAGGGTGTGGTGGTGGCCGCCAATGTGGAGGAAGCCTGCCAGGCAGTGGATGAGATCCTGGGGCAGCTAAAGTATGGACAAGCGGGAGCTACACTGGTAGTGGAAGAGCTTCTGGAGGGTGAAGAGATCTCGGTTCTGGCCTTCACCGATGGCAAGAATGTGCGAGCCATGCTACCCGCCCAGGATCACAAGCGGTTGGGTAACGGTGACTCTGGACCGAATACCGGTGGCATGGGTGCTTACTGTCCTTGTCCGCTGATTAGTCAGCCCGCTCTGGAACTGGTCCAAAAGGCTGTCCTTGAGAGGGCCGTGCAGGGTTTGGCCAAGGAACGAATCTCCTACCAGGGCGTGCTCTACGCGGGACTCATGCTGACACGCGATGGTCCCCGCGTCCTGGAGTTTAACTGTCGCTTCGGAGATCCGGAGACTCAGGTGATTCTGCCTCTGCTCGAAACCGATCTGTTCGAGGTGATGTTGGCCTGTTGCACCGGGAAGTTGGATAAGGTTACTCTGCAGTGGCGCAGTGGAGTCAGTGCCGTGGGCGTGATCCTGGCCAGTGCTGGATATCCGGAGACCTCTACAAAAGGATGTGTTATCACAGGTATGTGAAGCAAGAAATGCTAATCCTTCTTGGAATTATCTAAATTGTATTTCTTAGGCCTTCCTGCGAACAACACTCCGACTCAACTGATTTTCCATAGTGGCCTGGCCGTGAACAAGGAAAAGCAAGCTCTGACCAATGGCGGTCGTGTCCTAATTGCCATTGCTCTTGACGCCGGCCTGAAGGAGGCTGCTGCCAAGGCCACCAAGTTGGCTGGCAGTATCAGCTTTTCCGGATCTGGAGCTCAGTACAGAACGGATATTGCCCAAAAGGCCTTTAAAATGTAATTACAAGTAACTCATCCATTAAAATCGATTGACAAAAATTAATAAATAAAAGAAGTCTGAAAAATATATAACTGTTGGGCCGTTAAAACATAAGAAATTGAGCAAGAAAGAATTAATCTAAATTTTTAATCATTTAGAGATCATCTTCCTTTCTAATTTACTTTTCTGAGCTATCATTTTAAACCTTCTCTTTGTAACACATGTATATCTTTCCTATTATTTATCTGCTATTCTTTATATACCTATTACTTAGAGCCACTGCCAACGCCCCAGGATTGAGCTACAAGGACAGCGGCGTAGATATCGATGCTGGCGATGCTCTCGTCCAGCGCATTAAGCCTTTGTCCCGAGGCACCCAGAGGCCGGGCGTCCTTGGTGGTCTGGGTGGCTTCGGTGGACTCTTTCGCCTGAATGAGCTCAGCTACAAGGAGCCCGTGATTGCTGAGGCCACACAGGGAGTGGGAGCCAAGATTAAGCTGGCCCTGGAACACGAGTTGTACGAGAACGTGGGTTACGACTTGTTTGCCCTCTCGGCCAACGATCTCCTTGAATTTGGCGCTGAGCCGGTGGCTTTCCTGGATTACATTGCCTGTGGCAAACTCAATGTTCCGCTGGCTGCTCAGCTGGTCAAGGGAATGGCCGATGGTTGTCGGGATGCGCGCTGCGCTTTAGTAGGTGAGAAAGGAATCTTAATGTAACATTTAGAAAACCTATTAACTTCCATATATACCTTGTAGGTGGCGAAACAGCAGAGATGCCTTCACTCTATGGACCCGGTCAGCATGACATGGCCGGCTATTGTGTTGGCATCGTGGAGAAGTCACGCGTTCTCCCGCGATTCGATCTCTATCAGCCAGGAGATCTTCTTATTGGCCTGCCTTCCTCTGGACTCCACTGTGCCGGCTTTAATGAAATTCTTAGAAGACTGCAAGAATTGAAAGTGAATCTCAAGGATCTGTCCCCCGTTGATGGTGGAGAGGATGGCCTGTCTCTGGCCCATTCCCTGGCCACACCCACCCGACTGTATGTTCAACAGCTTCTTACCCACCTCCAGAATGGAGATGAGATCAAGTCGGTGGCTCATGTGACCCACGGTCTCTTAAACGATGTGAAACGTCTGTTGCCCGAGGGATTTGAAACCACATTGGACTTTGGTGCGGTTCCCGTTCCTAAGATCTTTGGCTGGCTGGCCGGCAAGCTTAAGCTCAGCGCTGGGACGTTGTTGGAGCGACACAACTGCGGCATTGGTATGCTTTTAGTCTTGCCACAGACTAGTCAGTTGTGGCGCACTTCCCTGCCAGGAGCCAAGGTTTTGGGTGTCCTGCAGCGACGAGCAAAGACGAGCACTGGAGCTGCCGTGCAGGTGCGGAACTTTACGGAGCAACTGGAGCGCGTAGCCGCACCATTCGGAGGCCTTGGTGAACGCGAACTACCGGAGGAGCTCAAGAAACTGTCCTCCAAAGACACTGTAACGGCTTCAAGGGCGGAATGCTTTGAGAATGCCGCTGGACGCCGCCTCACTCGTGTTCCCGGCCACTACAAGGATCCCATTCTTATCTTGGGCACCGATGGTGTAGGCACCAAGCTGAAGATTGCCCAGCAAACGAATCGCAACTCCAGCGTAGGCATCGATCTGGTGGCCATGTGTGTCAACGATATTCTGTGCAATGGAGCCGAGCCGCTGAGCTTCTCGAGTTACTATGCCTGTGGTCAGTGGCAGGAGGAGCTGGCGAAGGAGGTCCATTCCGGTGTCCTAGAGGGTTCCCGCCAGGCCAATAGCAGTTTCATTGGTAAGTTATCTAGGCGCGAAATTTAAGTACAAACATTAATTTACACTTGCTTGCTAGATTCGCATAGTGCTGCCTTGCCGCTCCTGTACGAGCCCCAAGTCTATGACCTGGCTGGCTTCGCCTTGGGTATTGCTGAACGCTCCGGTATCCTGCCTCGTTTGAGTGACATTCAGCCAGGAGATGTGCTCATCGGCTTGCCATCGTCGGGTGTCCACAGCAATGGTTTTAGCCTGGTGCACGCTGTCCTCAAGCGGGTCGGCTTGGGTATCAACGATAGGGCTCCTTTCAGCGAGAAAACAATTGGCGAGGAGCTCTTAGTGCCCACAAAGATATATGTAAAGGCGTTGGCTGATCTGCTGTCGCAACCAAATCACGGAATCAAGGCGCTGGCCCACATCACAGGCGGCGGACTCAGTGAGAACATTCCGCGTGTGCTGCGCAAGGATCTGGCCGTGCGACTGGACGCAAATGAATTCCAGCTACCGCCTGTTTTCGCCTGGCTGGCAGCAGCCGGGAACATTAGCTCCTCCGAGTTGCAGCGGACGTACAACTGCGGCTTAGGCCTGGTCCTGGTGGTTTACGCCACCGATGCCGATCGAGTTCTGAAGGAGTTGCGGTACCCACAGCGAGCTTCTGTGGTCGGAGAGGTTATTGCCCGCAAGGATCCAAAGAGGCCGCAGGTGGTGGTCCAGAACTTCGAGGCCGTGTTGGCGAAGACCCAGAAGATGCTCTCTATGCCTCGTAAACGAGTGGCTGTTCTCATCTCAGGAACAGGCAGCAACCTGCAGGCACTCATCGATGCCACTCGTGACTCCGCCCAGGGTGTGCATGCCGACATTGTGCTGGTGATTAGCAACAAGCCGGGTGTCTTGGGTTTGGAACGTGCCCATCGAGCTGGGATTCCCTCCGTGGTCATCGCACACAAGGACTTCAAGACCCGAGAGCTCTACGACGATGAACTGACACGAAATCTCAAGGCAGCTCGTGTGGATTTGGTATGCCTAGCCGGCTTTATGCGCATTCTGAGTGCTCCGTTTGTGCGAGAGTGGTGTGGCCGTCTTATCAACATCCATCCCTCGTTGCTGCCCAAGTTTCCGGGTCTTCATGTCCAGCGGCAGGCGTTGGAGGCTGGCGAGAAGGAGTCCGGATGCACGGTTCACTTTGTGGACGAGGGCGTGGACACGGGAGCCATTCTAGTTCAGGCTGCAGTTCCCATTTTACCCGGAGACGATGAGGATACATTGACGCAACGCATTCACAAGGCCGAGCACTGGGCTTTCCCCAGAGCTCTAGCCCTGTTGGCCAGCGGAACAGTGCGCCTCAATGCCGAGGGAAGGACAACACTGCCATCCTAGGCTGTTATTGAGCCTGGCAAAGCGAACGAAATTCACAGGGATGTTCATATCTGCCGATAAAAGACGTTTTTTATATACATTTTTAGATATTCAACATTTGATTGGTTAAGACTGCAATTCATTTTTAATAAATAACTATTATTTCCCTCCCTTAGGGAGCTACATATAAACTAATATCACCAATGTTTCGTTGAAAAACGAACTTTACATCACAAAAGGTTGCTGAAGAGGGAAAAGATGCTTGTACTCGAGGTCTGCTGCTTCTGTTCATTGTTGTTGATATTGGCATCCGGAGTTGGTCGTCGCATCACGTTACGTTGCAATTGCGGCTCGCTGAAAACTCTTTCGCCTATTGTGTCTAGGTTTTGGCGAAAGAACTGATTCTTCAGGATGGGCACCAACAGGTTATACTTGTCAATTAGCTTGTTCAATTGCTGGACTTCCTCCTGATGTTGCTGCTTGAATGTCTGCCATGCAGCTAGCTCATCGGGGCGTTGCAGTGGCCACTCGCCGTAGTAGATACGTTCCTTGCGCACCTTATCCTTGAGATGTGTAACAGCTTCCCGTATGTCCTTGCTTAGGCTAATCCACTCCGGCGTGAAACCATTGTCCAGCATTATCTTGTTCAGCTTGTGTGTGGTAAAGTCTAGATAGGGAGTCTGCGACTGTGCCGATGACAGCGGCTTTCCGACCCCATTCAGATTGTCAAAGTCGCCCTTGGACATCGCCTCCTGGATTAAATCCTCCACTACGCGCTCGATGCCGTATTTGGTCTTTATGGCGTGCTTGCGGAAATGGTTGCCCTTGGACATCAGAGTCCTTTCGCCCGCAGCCGCTTTGTCAATGCGATGCTCGAGCACGCGCTCTTGCGCCTTCATGGCTCTCACCTGTTGGTACTGCTTCTGGCGCTGAAACGGAGTTCCGACGCCAATGCCTTCGTTGGACAGGTACTGTCGGTGCTGCGGAGCAGTGTGTTGAATATCAAACTCCATGGCTTCGTCCTCGTCCTCCTGAATGTTGCGCCGCCCTTTGGCAAACTTCTCCTGCAGCACCCTGAACGCCTCGTCCACTTGCTGGAAGCGTTCGGCGCTGGCCTCTTCAGTGCCAGAGTCCGGATGCACTCGCTTCACCAGGTCCAAGTAAGCGTGGCGCACGGTATTCTGATCCGCTGACTCGTGCACACCCAGGATGCGGAACCACTCCTAGTAATGCAGGTGCCCCGTTATATAATAGGAAGGGAAGCAACGCAACTAAAGATTTCCTCTTACCGAATACACTTCGCGGCGGTTAAGGTGCAACAAGCGATGGGAGCCTCTGCCTGTGTGGCGAATTGAGGCACCTAGGACACGTCCTGCTAGCCACATTGTAAACTCCTCTTAATTAACTGCCAACTTGAAATTCGAATTGTATCTAATTTTCAAAACTGACATTGATGTCATTTGAACTATTATTATCATTTGTTTACGTTTTGAAGTACAAACAGCTGTTTTGCCGCTTTAGACCAGGGCTACATTTTTATATTAAAAATAATCGAGTTGGAACCTATCGTTATCGTCAGGCTTCCCGCCAACGATCATTTCATTTTGAAAACAGATCGAAACAGCTGGTAGCCACCAAGGACAGCAAGAGTCAGTGAGTCTCTCCAAGGATATTCACGACTACTCTAGGGGCCGATATGGCGATGGCTTTGACGTGAAGCTCGAATTCTTGTTACTACCTGTTCATTAAGCTACTGAATCGATCTCACACCGTGGCAGAAAGAGACCCAAGGCGCGATTTCGGCGACTAGTCACCTAGTTTAACTAAGTTTAACAAAACGTCTGAGTCTTCAGGAAATCGAGCATGGAATAAGCTATATAATAATAATGAAAGCTACAAATATACTTTGGGAATCACAGGACCTCGAATCCCAGGTTCAGCTAGTGTCCAAAGCGACCAGGAAGCAGCTTAGCTTAGAGGCTGTAGAGTAATCGCTTGACTCACAACCTCTAACATATCTTACCTGTAAAATAAAATGGACTTTACGTAACTGTCAGTGTTTTGCCCAAAAAGAAGGGCTTATTAACAGGCTGTGGTGAAGATAGTTTCTTATAGAAAAGTTTCGGCAGTTTATTGGATTGAGGCCCATAGAAATGTATTGGCCGCATCCCGAAACAAGGTCGTTACCATTCAAAAAGAGAGGTATGCTTTTAGGTTGATACCACTGACTTATCTAAAGTCAGGTCAGCATAAATTAAAATATGCATTATTAAATTTAATTGCTCAGTTTTGTGAACATATTAGTTACAACACAATCTTTAAATAACGAGCAAAATTAAAATTGAATCTGCGGGCCCCTTGTTTAGAAGAATGTGGAAACGAAATGGGTTTTGAAGCGGAGAAGATCGAGATCCACAGGTATGAGGTGCTTGGATAAATATTGAAGCGTGTTGGCCTTCTGTTTTGTAATGCGTGTTCGCCCCCAATGAGTGTCTAACCCACATCCAAAGCCGTACATAAATAAATTCTAGATTCGATTGAAGGCGATGACCAAATCTGCGAAAGAGCCAAGCTCATCTGCAATTCTGCATCCTTCATGCTCTACATAAACTGAAACAAGTTCGCTGTAATTGTGTCATAATTAAAATATAAAAATGGTATTCTTGTTTTTCTTTACCTAGTTATTTTAATTAATTATTTAAGTAGTTATTTCAATTAATTATTTAAGTAGTAAAATGGAAAATGGTACTAGGCAAATGGTCACTAGGCAATTCCTCCCAATTAATATTACAGAACTCATAAAAAATACATTATATTTTGATAATACATTTTTGCTTTTCCATAGATACACCTCTTTTAAAATGAACTTGATAATTTTATAGTTTGCCCCATAATTATGATTCAATTGATCAATATGCTGATTTTTTTGAATTACCGGTCTGGACTGCTCTTTTTTTTTTTCTAGCATCCAGTTTGGCTTGTTTAGAACCGGCACATTAGCATACATAGACATATAGAGGACAGGATGCGGCTGGTTTGCTCTAAATACTCCTGATCAATGTGTGGTTCTAGTCATCATTTTCCACGGTATCGGGCGTGAACAGATCGCACACTTCGAGGAACTGTGCCATCTTCATGCCGGCATAGCCGCCCAATAAAATGCCAGGTATGACAGTGGCTATAATACTAACATACATGCGTGTATTAGTCTTTTGAATTTTTTTCAGCTCCTTGTACTCTGTGTAGTTTTTATCGAACGGCATCTTGGATCCGGGCTTCAGCTGTAACGTTTTTCGAAATTCAAATACAAATACAAAACTTATTATGAGGGTAATGTCAAGACTTTCTCTGACCAAAATTGGGCAGGCACGCCCTAGAACTTGGACACTGAGCCCGAACTCAAAGCCCAAACCCCCATCTGGCATGCATGTCGCCGGAATATTTCAATGTGCGCCCTATATGGAACTTCCGTTCTGCTGTCCCAGCACTTAGATTTCGTCAACCGTCTGATGGCCACTCTTCAATTGGCTTGAAGTGGTCTACGTTTCCCACTTTGAATGGCTGACGATTTGGCCTTAAGTTTAATGTGTCACTGTGGTCTGTGTGATGATCAATTTTACTGTCTGACAGAGCGTAGAAAGGTAGGTCCTAAGATAGGGATAATGACTTTTCCTGTCATAGGGAACCATAATTAGAGTAGTAATTTCTTTAAATTATTAAACATAATTAGTAACTCCACTCAAGTACTTTAGATTTAGCATACATAAAAAATTAAGCTGGCCAAGAGGGTTAAGCTCATCAGTAAAGTGATTTATAAGTATTCATTCTAAAATCCTTAAAGAACTTGGAAAGCTGGAATTTAAATAACTGACAAGGGTATAGAATGTTAAACAAACCCTGTTTTATGACTACTTTTATGACCCTTTTAGCAGGTTCGTTGCCTGAGTATTTTGTGAGCCTCTAATATATCTATACTGCTTCCGTTTGCCATTTCGCACATTTTGAGGAGTAGTTGGGTTTTTAGGGCCCTTGAATAGTTATTCAGAATCGAGGATGTTTGGGTTAAACCAACCAATCTAGGCACATGCCCATCGCAATAAGGTGGAATTTCCTAGGACACATTGTTGCGTAAAATATGAACAGTTCCGAAAAAAATCGAAAAACTGAAATGGATGTCTTAAGTATTAGGAATATTGACTCTTAATAGCCTTGGGAATAAATAAGGGGAATCACTTTGAAAATGTAAAGATTGTGCCAGCAAAGTGCAGGACAGATTACGAGTAATTCTTCAGAGTCCTAGTTTTATGGTCCACTCTGTTTTATTGATCAACCCTTCAACAGGTTCGTTTCTTCAGTCTTTTGTTAACCGCTTTTAGGTTTCCTTCCGTTTGTTATTTTAAGTACTTTTCGGTTACAGTTCAATTAGAATAAATATCTTTTAAAATGAAGATTAACAAACATTTTAAGCTCAGTCAAAGCAATTTTAATAGTAATAATTTTAGAATATTTAAAACCCATTATTTTTTCGAAAATAGAATCATTATAAATTAAATTAAAGTAAAAACGCAACAATAAAATAAATCATTTTAAATATTTGTTGAAGAAATATATGTTACATAATTAAACGGAAAATGTGAATTCAAAGGCATTATTCATTCTTCAATTCCCAGTTCGTTGCTTAAGTCTTTCCTTATCCTGTAAAAGTTGTCGCTGAATTTTTTCAAAATAAGGTAGCTGAACAGAGTGGAGATTCAGAAATCACCAGGATTCTTAAATACAATTAGCTGGATTTTCTAGGAAAGCAAGGATGATGCGACTAATCCTGCCCAGAGGACTGAGCCCATGTACACATGTTGTTGGGCCAAAGGTACACAAGTTGGCCAGTATTTGTGTGGCGCTGTTAAATTGCCTTTTTGCCGGCTAAGATTTCCGAGCCGAGTTTTAAGCGGCGTATAACGGCGGCAAACGATCGGTCGGCGGAATGCCAAGAAGTCGCAAGCTTTCAGCCTCAGTCTTCGGCTTTTCAGTATGCTTTTGACTGTGGCGCGTTGTGGACGTTGAGAGGCTGCGGCAAACTTTGGCTGCTAACAAGTGTATGTATCGATCACTGACTGGGTGTGTGCGTGTGTGTGAGTGCCGAGAGCCGTTAAGAAGTCTGCGGAGGCAAGAAAATCCGAGGAACGGGCACGTTGCGCTGTTTTATTTTCTTTGAGCCGTCTTACATTTCTACCTTCTTTTACTGTGTTTCTCTTTTGCTTCTCTGCCTTCTTCTTGCGCTGCCTTTTCTGCTGTCGTGTCTTGTGGTCTCGGCACAAGCGTAAGTGTGTGTGTGTGTGAGCGGCGACTTCAGGTGCAGGCGCGTTGATTTTCTCGAACAAGTTTCAGTCTTAATCTGGCCTTCGTGTGGCATGGTACAGTAAACGCTCTCCCGGATCTTTTTAGATATCAGTGCCCTGGTGCCTTGGCTTGTGAATGTATTTGGCCCCGAAACTGGATTTATTCAATTGTTGTTTTGTGCTGAATTCTGTGTGTGTGTGTGGCAAAGGATTTCTGTGCATTTTAATAGAGGCGCGTGCTTGTTTCGTGTGTGTTTAAAATGCAACAAAGCCAAAACAAAAAGGAATTTAACAAAGTGCAACATAAACAGTGAACATTTGGGGACCAGTTTTAATTTCAAGCCAAAAGAAACAATAAAAACATGAAATTAACTAAAATTGGAAACATTTAACATGCTACAAATCAAAACAACTAAAAAATCAAGAAACTTCTAAGAAAAGGATACAGAAATCTTTTAATTTTGTATAAAAAAATATATCTCAACACCAAAACAAATCCAATAAACCTCACTACAGCTAGGAAGTTAATTTGAAATAGAGCAACTCTTGCCGCTATAATGATTCCGTGTTGTTTTTAAAGCAACCAAGTTAGTTGAACTTCTAGTATAATTTCTTTTAGCCATTTTCTTATGCTTCTTCGTATTGTAAGCTGCCCGGTTTTTACCAGTCCATTAACTTGTCTGTGCCTTTTGCACTTTACTTTTGTTAACTGACATAAGACGGCCGCCAAGGCACGTATGTGTGGTGTAGTACCCTCGGGGAATGGTAGTACATAGTACCCTCCACAGGGGTAACACACTCCGCCGTACTCACTTCACATGCCAGCTGCGCATTTACGCTCCCATTAACCGGGCCTAAATAACACACACACCACATATGTGGCCCAAAAGAAGCCACAACTGGGCAGCAAGTGCTTTGCACAACAATATGGCCAAGAGAAATGGCGCTGCCAGAAATAAGCACAAGCTGTTGCCAAAAAAATAATTAGAGCTGCAGCCAAAGTGCAGTCTGTTTCGGTTAGGTAATTCCAGCCACAACTCTCTCTCTCTTTGGCAAGTTTGTGCCTTAAGTCATTTGTTTATTTTCTTCAAATCATGGCAAACAAAAATGTGAAATTTGGAATTCTTAGAGGCCTTTCCTCGCACGGTTTTCACCCAATTAGCATAAGTATTTCTTCGAAGATTTTGGTTACCTCGAAACATAAGAATGTTCCCAACGCATTCCGAAGACGTGCTCAGACTGGTGACGAGAATTCTCGGCTTAACTTCTTTCGGTTCGGTTCTTCGCCATATGGCATGCATAATTAAACAGACCCAGCCCCATTAGAGAAACTATAGATAGTTTGACTATCCGCAGCGATCATAAATTACGTTTATGTGACGCGCTTTAATTTCGTTTAGCTTAATCTTTAATCAACTTGAATATATGTACCTCCCAGCAGTGCAACACTGGCCTTGCCCATTAAAAACTATATATACATAAATAGTGAACGAAAAAACCAAAAGTTGCCATAAAGAAAAAGAGCTGACACCGCCGTTGTCGGGGAAAGGGAGAGAGACCGTCGTCGGAGTCGCCTTTGTTGACCTCAAGGATAACCAGCTGACATGCCACATAAATTGGAATACTAAATATTCGCGAACGATACAAAACGAACCCATATTGTGGTTATATTTATACCTACAGCTGCATTTACAAGAGGTGAGTTGCATATTGAAAGGGCTACGAATGAGCTCCTAAAGAGTGGAAGAGTAAAAGAGTTGGGGACTTGGAAGGGAATCGGAAATAAGAGGGAACTATCGATCGGGAGACTGGAATATCGATGAATAAATACTGATGACTATATTCTTCGGCTTTGAAGCTGACATCATTACACGGCGCTAGCTACTTCCATCATAAAACAATAATGAAGTAAAAACCAATTTCAGGCCACGCCTCATTTCGACTCGGTCATTGCGCAAATATTCGATTATATATGTAGACACATGTATCCATAAACAATGGCATGCTTTCGTTTTATCCAACAATTTGCAATTAAACTGCGCTTTAATTGTGTTTCAATAATTGATTGATTCCTCTGATTGCGCCAAGAGTGGTTATATGTATATAAAGCAATCAATATACACAAACATATATGTTTCCATTAAGCCATAAAAAGTGGCACACGCGGCGACAATAAGAACAATTTCTTTTACTTTCTATTAGACGAAACCCCAAAAAGAGCTTCGATTGTCTGTCGGCCGTGTCTGACTCGCCTTTGTTGTCACATTCATTCAATAAAGGCCAAGTCGAGCGGGCCCTCAGCCCCACGGCCGCCCCTCCTCCTCCTCCTCCCTCCGGAGGGGCGAAAAGCGAGAGCTACCAAACAGTTAACCTCAATTTCAAGACGCACTCTGAGCTCTACTGTTGTTGTTGATGTTGTTTTTATTCTTATTGTTGTTTTTGTTGCTTAATAACAGAAACCGAAACGCCGTAGAAGTAGTAAAAAATTTCACTCAAGCCAAGTCAACTTAAAGTGAAAAGCAGAACAAATGACGTACAAGCCCGTCACAAGCAATCCCACTCGTTGGATCTTTAAAAAGCGCACAAAAACTTTATTTGCTCTCATCTGTGGCTCAGTTTTTGTATATTTATTTTTTTTTGCAAAGCAAAGCTATTTGGCAAACACAAATAAACCCGTTTTTTTATGGAAATTTGTGCCATGATTAAGGAATCTCGAAAAAGATGAGTTCTACTTAAGTAATTTCCATAGCTCTGCTAAAAAGTATCGAAATCGAATCAAGTAAAACTTGTTTTAGCGCGTGCTTTATGGCCCAGAGTCGCGCTGTGGCTTAGTCATAATTTGTATATTGGTATTTACCTCGGAGCTGCCAAACGGAAGTTGCGGATAAATGTGGAAAGCTAGCCGTGAAGTACCTTTTACACATTTACTTTTCCATAGAGAAGTCAAGTTCGTTGCCTAAGTCTTCCGATTTGTCTGTGTTTTGTAGTTGCGTTAAATTGCG